AATCAAAGCAATTAATACAAAAATTATATTCTAATACTTCCCCTCAAGTTAAAGCATAGATGTAGGTCATGTTCAACTTAGATTTGAAATCATCGAACAGTATCCGAGGAATATTTTTTGTGAGAATATATGCCAGCTGACCATTAGATGACAATCGAAGCACAAATTTTTCTGGACTCAAACTTTTCTTTAATGAAGTGATGGTCAATTTCAAAGTGCTTGGTGGGATCATGCTGGATCGAGTTGTGAGCAATGCTAATGACTATCTTGTTATCACAAAACAACTGTAGTAGAGCGAAGATTGCCTGTCATACATAGTTCGTGGAGTATAATGCGTAACTAGCGCCGGAGGAAGGTTTTTTGCGAGAATATATGCTAGCTGGCCATTAGATGACAATTGAAACACAAATTTTCCCAGACTCAAGTTTTTCCTTAATGAAGTGATAGTCAATCTCAAAGTGCTTGGTGGGATCCGGGTTGGGAGCAATGTTAATGACTGTCTTGTTATTGCAAAACAGTTTTTGTAGAGCGGAGACTGTCATACGTAGTTCTTTAAGTATGTTGCGTAACTAGAGGGCTTCACAACTTTTGAGGGACATGGACCGAAATTCGGTTTCCGCACTACTCCGAGCAACTACAGACTATATCTTGCTTTTTTACGTGATCAGATTTTCCCACACAAATGAGCAGTAATTCGAGGGAGATCATCGATCATGGACCGACGCGATCCAATATGCGTCTGTGTAAACTATAATAGAACTAGTTGTGGCGGGAAAAAAACAAACCCGAGCCCAATGTGCCTTTTAAATAGTGGAAAATCTGGCGGAAAACTTGGATGTGGTGTTGCTCATAGGGATCATACATGAATTGACTGACTATCCCAACTGCGTGGCATATGTTGGGGCGTGTATGAGCAAGGTAGATGAGTTTTCCCACAAGTCGTTGGTAGTGAGTCTTGTTTACAGGAACTACATTGGGAACATCAAGAAATTTTTCATTTGGATCCATCAGGATAGCCATTGGTTTGCACAGGAGAAGATTGTTCTTTGTCAAAAGATTAATCACATATTTCCGCTGAGACAGACAAATACCCTGAGATGATCGAGCAACTTCCTTGCCTAAAAAGTACCATAGAGATCTCAAGTCCATTTCAAACGAAGCAGAAATAATGTCTTTCAAAGATTTAATGCTGATAGGAACAATATTGTCAATATAGACAATAAGGATTGTTACCTGGCAGGTGTAGAAAAACCGGAAGAAAAGAGTGTGATCTGATTGATCCTGAGTGAATTTATAGCCTACCACCACCTTTGTGAATTTCAAGAACCATGCCCATGGTGATTGCTTCAATTCATAAAGGGATTTTTGCAATATGCATACTTGCCCCTTGGTGGTAATGGAGTCTAACCCTGGAGGAAGAGCCATATAAACCTCCTCTGTAAGATCGCCATTCAGGAACACATTCTTGACATCAAGCTGAAATAAGGGCCAATCCAGATTCACAACAAGGGATAAGAGGAACAAAATGTTGTTTAATTTAGCAACCGGAGCAAATGTTTCTTCATAGTCAAATTCGTTGGTCTATGAGTACCCTTTTGGCAACCAATTGTGCCTTGCTGCGTTCAAATGATCCATTAGATTTAAACTTGATGCTAAAAATTCATCGGCATCCCACTGCTTTCTTGCCTCTTGGAAGATTAATAATGTTCCAAGTATGGTTTCTTTTAATGCCATTCATCTCCTCCATGACGACAGCTATCTAGGCTAAGTCTGTTAAGGCAGCCTCAATAGTAAATGGAAGCTGATTATTGGATAGGGCCGTAACAAATGCTTTGTAGGTTGGTGATAATCTGCGAAGTGAGGCATAGTTTTCCAAGAAGTTCATGTTGTTTTTCTGTCATCCAGTTTGCAGAGGAACAAAAGTTGAAATTGATCCTCCGGTGGAATCAAGAACATCTTTTGATGACAGCTCAGTGCTGGAAGAATCCGACGTGACTCCTATTGAGCCAAATGAGATGTTAGGTTTTTGAGACATCATACAATTCGACTGCTAGGAGGAATACTACCAATATTTGAGTTGGACAGCTGAGCAAAGATGAACCTGTAGAACTCTACTACGTCAGTTTTTCTTCAACTCTTCAAAACATGTCTATTGCAACCGATAACTCATCAGATTTCTGTTACAGGAACAACAAAGAAGAAGTCACAGGTCTCTACTACATCAGTTTTTTTTCAAATCTCCAAACTTGTCTATTACAACCAGTAACTCATCAGATTTATGTTACGGGAACAACAGGAAGAGTCGGATTTGCCTCTGATATGCAGGAGATTGCTTCACGGGATATACGGGAAAGGTTCTGCGGCTTGTATTCAGGGGGCTATAGATTTCTGTTTATAGGAGCGACCGAGAGAATAACCCGCAAGGTACAAAACATGTAGGAATTATAAATCATGCAGGGAAAAATTGCAAGAAGAGACGACAACTAGGGTTAGAGCCTTGGCTTTGATACCATGTTAGAATAGAATTCAAGATGATTGTTTATTGATGCAAGGAGAGGTATAAATATAAATACTGGAGAGGTATAAATACTCATTACAGGATCTACTAGTAAGGAAACAAATAAAAATAAAATAAAGGGAAAATGGAAAGTAAATAAAAGCAAAACAAATCAAAGCAATTATTAGAAAAATCTGAATATTAATATTCTAATATTCTAATACTTGTATTGTGCTTATAAATGAGTATTAAGTATAAGATAGTAACATCTAAGTTAAATGCATTTTTTTAGAAGAAAGGAAACAATATTCCAATTCAAAAACGAGGTCATTCACTTTAGCTTCATGAATTCTGAACTAAAACTTCACCAGTTACTTTTAGATCTTTGTTTTAGAAAGTTAACTAGCTTTCTTTAAATTTGAGCCCATGTTTTAAGTCTGATCAAATCTATAAATCAAACAAAAGATTAAGCAGAATAGTCAATTGATTCAACCACATTGTTTAAAACATACGCTTGTCCCAAATCATCTAGTTATTCTCCTAAATCTCACCTGAAAATATAATTTATACACTATTATTATCATTATTATTATTATGGATATTATCTCGTTTCTTGCTATGTCTATTATAAATTGCACCATACCTTTATTATACTTGTCATACTAGCTAATTTAATCTATGCACATCTCTTTTTATATCTATTTAAATATTTAAGTACCTTTATCTGGATCACTTGCATTTTATTTCTCTAAGCTTCACCCTGATAAAGCAAGTCCTTTTAGTTAGTCATAATAAGCTATAATTTTATAATACCTTTAATGTAACCATGTAATTTTTTCAGCCATTGACTTATTTTCTATTGTCTTATTTACTTATAATAATAAAAATGCATTAATGAACTACAATTCATAAAGTAACTCTTATTCAAAATTATGTTCTCATAATTTTGACCAAAATCAATCTCTCGTAGCAATAAGAGTGCTTTTGGGGTTTATCTCATTTGGAATGACTGAGGAATAAGCTGAAGAAGTTTCAAAGTTTTCATTTTTTTTTTCCTTAACTGACTTAACACGCAATTCTCAAGTCAACACAACTTTCACATGTTGTTGCATATGCGTTCGAACTTTCACGGGCTTGGAAACCCTTGCACAGGCTTTAACTTTCTTTCAGCTTCACTTGATGTCATTTCTCATCGCTTGTAGCTTCTCCCACTCAATCGTATAGTGTTATCTTGTTTTACCCTTTCTCTTGCTTCCTCTCACACTCTCTTTCTTGCATCTCTCGCTCTTTCTGTCATAGTACATCGTTTCTCTTTTTAAAGAGGTGTAATTCAATTCAGTTGAGCTGATATTAGGTCAGGTCAAAGTTTTTCTTGATATTTATTCACGTAGAACATTTTCCTTATTACAATAAATCAGAAGTAACAATAAAGAATAAAATAGGAACTTCCCTTTAATATTAAGTTATATAATTTTTTTATACTATATATTTGTATTCATTAACCTTTCATTTGTTTTGATTTAACTTATTTTAAAAGTAATTCGATCTTGACGGCTCAATTAAATCTTCAAGTTAATCTTTTTACTAACAAATTTTTTTAAATCTTATTTTTTAAAATAAATAAATTATATTTATTGGTTTTTACAAATTATGTATTAAATTTTAAGTTTGCTTTAAAAGATGATTGTGTCTTCAATTATTTATCACTAAGCTTTCAAGCACCTAGCTTGTAAAATTTGGATGCACATGACTAATGAATATAATGCTTTGCACTTTTTATAGTTAGCATTTGGCACATGATATTATTTTAATATTTAAACTAATATGTACTTAATGACACAAGCCATCAAATTTAAAATCAAAATTTTTAGCTTCTTTATTAAATTACCAATCGCTATATTATTATTGAAATATATTTAATTTTTAAAACCTTCAACGATTTTATTTACCTATCACATGAAACGTATGCAAAATACAAATTTAAATATTAAGATATTTGTGTTGTATCTAATTTTACCTTGAATATTCAAATCCGTTATCCATGTCAATTCAACCTATAATTCTTTTTAATTTTATTTTCTCTAGAAAAGCATGACAACGTCGACAATGAGGATTCTGCAAATATATTTAAAGCCATCAAATCTACTGATCCAAAAGACAAACAATGAAGTAGTGTTTTCTACCGGGGGATGCCTTTTTATAGATTAAGATTAAGCATGAAAAAATGTTTTTTTTAAAATTCTATTTTGTTTTTTACCTTTTAGATAAAAGAACTTGATTTTATCTAGATATAAATGTGTTTACTTGATGTAACAGGAAGTTGTTGTTGCCATATTGTTCGATAGGCTTTATTCTTGGACTACAGATTATGGAAACTGTGAAGAATCTTTCCAGTTATTTTGCTTAAATTATTGTGCTTATATTGCCTTTTGCAAATTTTCATATCTAATAAGTACTCTCCCAGATTTTAAATTGCACTAAATTTGTTGTTATTTTTCTGTAGTAAATTGGCCTTATGAGCTGTTTGGTCGCACATCTTAAGTATTACTGCAGTTGGAAGACTCGGAACTTTCTGGCAAGGTTTTACTAATATGGGCTTTTGCGTGCGATCTTGTGATAAAATTGGGAACAAGGCCATTAGAGATGCATCCATCAAGGTCTTTTATTTCTCTCTTAGGCTTTCTCCTGTTGTGTCTGTCTGGGATTGCACCATTCGCAAGATTATGTACTCGTTCAGGCCTGAATGGGTGTAGGAACTGAGTTTTAGTTAAAACAGTCTAGTGCCCGTGAAAAAAATTAGATCCCATAAAGAATATAGATTTTACTTTTTGTGAGGTGCTATAGGAATTTTTTTTTCTTATAAGCCGGTACTTTTAAAGACAATAAGCTGAAATCAACTGCTGGCCAAATATAGTCATGGATAAACTAGGAAGGAAACAAGTTCCAATAGGTTTAAGGAAGGAGAAAAAGAAACAAGTTAAAGATGAAGTTGATCGCTTGAAGCAAGCTGAAAAGAAAAAGAGGCGCTTAGAGAAAGCACTTGCCACTTCTGCAGCCATTCGCTCCGAGCTGGAGAAGAAAAAAATGAAGAAAATGGAAGAACAACAGCGTTTGGATGCGGAAGGTGCTGCTACAGCTGAGGCTGTTGCTCTACATGTCCTTTTAGGAGAAGATGCAGATGAATCATCCCAGATAATGCGGGATAACATCAAAAGATTTAATTATTTTGACAATTCTGGCAATCTTGGCCATTTGATGGATCAGCACAGCTCTGCCAAATATTCCATAGGAGAAACAGGAAGGATTTCATATGCGTATGCATCCAGAAATAAATGGAATGATTGGGCCAATGAATCTTCATTTTCATCTGTAATGCATGGTAAAGATCTCAATGTACCTTATTTTGAAGAAATGGAGCTTGATGCAGAGGATTCAGCTGGTCTAATGGCAGCACGTGCTGTTTCATCACTGTGTATCACAGACAATTCACAAAACCTATTCCCTGGTCAAAATACAGCAACAACTGTTATTAACAGTATGGTTCCAGGCCATGATTTTGATAGCAAATTTAGTCTTTTCAAGTTTTTTTAATCACACAGATGGTCTTGTATAGAATAGAGTCATATGTGACATTTATGATTATATATTTCCCTGGATATTGAAACGTACATCTTGGGATGTTTGGTTTGTTTGAAGGAGCTTTCTTTGTTTGCTTGTAAGATAATTTTAAAGTGTTATGGAAATTGGCTTTGCTCTGTAATGAGAAGTTCTGCTTTTTGTTCTTTGCCACGAAGTTGCTTTTTAGTAGTATTTTCAGCTTTAGTTCTGCACCACTTCATGCATATAGTTTATTCAGTGCAATGGAATTTATGATTTTTATTTGGATTCTCATCACTGACATTATTTTTTTGATTAAGGTATCCAATAATTATAATAGCCATACAGAAAGTCTATGGTTGCGTCGGAAATCCATGTTCGGAGGAATAACTAATGTCTGTTTACATTTAGTTTTATTTGGACAGATTGAAACATTACAACTATAGCCAAATTTATAAATGTTGTTTGAGTTTTAGTCTGTCATAGTGGAATATCAAACTGTAAAGGTTTATAAAAAGGCCATGCAAGTATGCTTTGTTTTGTTTCCATCATTTAGCTCAGCGATGTCTATTTTGCTATTGCACATTAATTAATAGTGCTTTTATTATAGATGATTTTGTTATTTTATTTTTGACAACACGTTAAATGATGTTTTCACAAGGTTAACTTCAGTACCTGTTTTGGGAGGATTTTATAGTGATATCCTTGTGTTGCATTCGATCATATATCCTGAGAATGTTCCGTCAATAGTTTTGATGTTTTGCCAAGTTATCCTAGGACCAATCTGAAGCAAATGTATACCCCATCATATTTCAAGACAAATCTCATATTTAATACTTAACCCAATCATATTTCTTGATATTCCGGCTTGAGTATTATTACAGTTGATCAATTGTTTTAAAAGATAGGGACTCCTATAACTAATATAGTAAAATTAGGTATATAACATGAAATTCTTGTGGTTATGATGGTCATATTTATCATTCAGTTTATTCTATTCTGCATAAGATTTGAGATGTAATAGACGAGGTCATAATCTGTAATGTGAAGGCTGGGAGTTAAAATGGAGTACCTTAATAATTTTTGATATAAGGGGGTATCGATAAATTTTGTATATATGCATTTGAATATAAATTTTTAGGAAACTGCAATTATGCTTGTGATAATATACGGATCTAAATATTGCATTGCAACAAAATGTTCAATATCTAGGTTGATTGAGATGGAAGGGAGAATGTTAAGGTGAAGGCGTAAGAACTGTAAACTACAAAAAGTAATTGAATGAATTATCAATATTAGAGAATGTTGGAGTAACATCTATTTAAGAAAAGGTGATTGAAATCAGCAATTACCTCCATCTGTTAAAGTCTCCACAGAATCAGAAACTATACTTTAGATCCAGCAATGCACATGGAAGACCTTTCCTCCCATGAAAATCAGCAATTGCCTCCGTCAAGCAAGTCATATTCCTATACTGTTTCATCAAGCAACACCCATCCTATGGTTCTTTATCCTTTGGCTTTATTCCTAAATCCACTTCCTTTTGCTCGCCTTCAAATAGGAGAAATCTCTCACATTGTTCTGCATCATGGCAGCCCTTCTGCACCTTGCATTCCCAACTCTCAGATCTCCACCAAAAATGCATTCTTCTTGTTGTTCAGTTTATTTCCGCCCCGATAGGCAAAGATGTCAGTTTATTTTTGCTTTAAGATTGAAAAAGATGAAGGATTTGACTCTAAAGTGCCTCAGAACAACCGAGGGCATGGCTGAGATATTTCCTTCCTCTTCTCTTATAATTTTGGTTCAAGATTTCTATGAACATCTCAACAAGAAGGATATGAAGAAATTGAATGAGCTACTGGATAACAGTTGCATGTTCGAAGACTTGGCGTTTCCCAGCCCATTCAAGGACAAGGTGTGTGGCATTTTTCCTTCTCTTGCGATCTTCTTTTTGGATGCCATCTTCTCAGCATGTTGTTTTGTTTTTGCTCCTGCTGCTGCTGCTGCTAATATTATTATAGATATTACAACTTTTGGGCTCTTCGGTAAGAAATAAATATTACATCAGGACTGGCACGTTTACGTGCGGAGTCCGTGCGGTGTCCAATGAAATTTTGCCACGGAGGTGATCGGCCCGATAACATAAGAGAATCTTCCCATCGAGGTGATCGGCCCGATAACATAAGAGAATATTCCCATCGCGTTATTCAGGTGTTATTGTGTGTTTTTCAAGAATAATTGATGTGTTACTGTATTATTATAACACCGGGAATATTCTCAGAATACAATAACACCTGAATAACATACAATAACAACTGAATAACACGAGGGGAATATTTCCTTGTGTTACCGGGTCGATTACCTCCACGGCGTAATTTCATTGGACTGCACGTAGCTCTACATGCAGAGTCCCGATGTAATATTTTTTCGTCGAAGTAAAACATCAGCTTATTCACTGTCTTTATTGAGATTAGTGTCAAGTTTTCACTAGTGTAATTAAAAAAAAAAAGAAAACGAAAAAAAAAGGTTCGAGGTAGTCCGATGCCATTGAATATAGATTTGAATGCATTTACGTAATTCCTAGAACTTTTATGTATTGACATGCATTCCACAATTTTTATGTATTTACGTAATTCCTAGCTTTTAATATATTAAATATATAACACTCATATTGTAAAAAAAAAAACGAAAAAAAAAGTTTCGAGGTAGTCCGATGCCATTGAAGATGGATTTTAATGTATCTACGTAATTCCTAGATTTTTATGTATTTACATGCATTCCAAAATATTTATGTATTTACGTAATTCCTAGATTTTGATATATTAAATATATAACACTCATATTGCAAGCATCACAAAAAGATTATTATGATGAACTTTTTTTTTAACGTGAAGTAAATCTTTGCATGCATATGTTTTATCATGATTAACGCTCTTATGATATGCAAATATTAAACTGTACGGGCTAGATAAGTAAATACATAAAAAACTGTATAGTATGCATGTATAAATAAAAATAGGTGAAATTGCACCAAGTCTGAATAGCTTTGGGAGTGCAAACTGAGATTTGAATGTGCAAGCAACTCTACATAAACACTAATGTCATTATTTAAGTGGACGACAAAGTACTTGTTTTTCTTAGACCATCTTAAAAATGGCCTCAAATAACATCTTATATTAAGCTTTCTCTAAATTGTGGTTAACTTGAGCTTTGAGTTGCCTAATTAATGACTTTCCGAAGTCCAATGGATTGGTGTTTGCTCATGAAGAAATTCAAATTCAAGCAAAACAAAAATTATTCTTATGAAAATCATTCAAGATAGCAGATTAATTGAGCCACCATGAAATGAATTCTTCTTATACGAGTCATATCATATTCATACAATCACAAGGATTTTATCTCCAAGTTATGTCTTTATATACGTTAATCATGCACGAGATACAACTGATTGATCTTCTCACTAACAAGCCTCCACACTCGGTTCTCAATAATTTCTAAGCTCTACTCATCGAAAAAATATTTCATTTGGTCTTTTGATTCAAAGCTACGTTCGGACTCTAATAAAAACTTATCATGTATCGCAATGTGTAAGCCACGGTCCCACTAAATAAAAAAATAAAAAAAATCACTTTATTTTAATGTGTGACTCGACTCGAACCAACCCATACTTCAAAATTCAATTGCAGTTTTTTTGTGGAGTTATTGAGATTTGTTGTGGTGTTATTTGAATGGTATTGCGGCGGTTGTGATGTTATTGTAGTTTTTTTTTGTGGTGTTATTTGAGTGAGATTGTAGTTTTTTTTGTGAGCTAGTATTATTGCAGTTTTTTGTGGTGTTATTGAGGTTTGTTGTGGTGTTATTTGAGTAGTATTGTGGCGGCTATGGTGTTATTGAGGGTTTTATGTGGAGTTATTGAGTTTATTTGGTTTTATTGTGGTTATTTGGTGTTATTGTGATTGTTTTGTGAAGTTATTGTGATTGTTTTGTGAAGTTATTGAGGTGTTATTTAGGTCAATTGTAGTATTTTTTGAGTGGTATTGCGACAACTGTGATGTTATTGCATTTTTTGTGGAGTTATTGAGGTTATTTGGTGTTATTGCAGATTTTTAAGAGTTATTGAGATATTATCTAGGTTTATTGTGATGTTATTTGAGTGATATTGCGGCGACTGTGGAGTTATTGCGATTTTTTGTGATGTAATTTGAGTGATATTGCAGTTTTTTTGTGGGCTGCTGTTATTGCGATTTTTTTGTTGAGTTATTGAGGTTTATTGTGGTGTTATTTAAGTGGTATTGCGACGACTGTGATGTTATTGCAGTTTTTTTGTGGTGTTATTAAAGTTATTTGGTGTTATTTTGGTTTTTTTTTGTGGAGTTATTAAAATATTATCGAGGTTTATTGTGATATTATTTGAGTGGTATTGCGACGACTGTGTTGTTATTGTGATTTTTTGTGGTGATATTTTAGAGGTATTGCGTTTTTTTTTGTGGGATGGTGCTATTGAGATTTTTTTGTGGAGTTATTGAGGTTTATTGTGGTGTTATTTGAGTGGTATTGCGACGGTTGTGACGTTATTGTAATTTTTTGTGGTGTTATTTGAGTAATATTGCAGTTCTTTTTGTGGGCTGGTGTTATTGTATTTTTTTGTGGTGTTATTGTGGTGTTTTTTGAGTGGTATTGCGGCGGCTCTGGTAGTATTTTTGAATGATGTTATTTCAGTGTTACTGTTGTGTTACTGCGGTATTATTTTGATATTATTGTGGCGTTATTGAGATGCTATTTTAGTTTTATATGAGTGATATTGTGACAGCTTTGTTGTGTTATTCTTAAATAGCATTATTATGGTGTTATTGCTGTATTTTTGGTGTTATTGGGGTGTTATTAGTATTTTTTATGGAGTTATTGACGTGTTATTGAGGTTTATTGTGGTATTATCTGAGTGACATTGCGACAAATGTTGTGTTATTATGTTTTTTTTTGTGGAGTTATTGAGGTTATTTGGTGATGTTAAATTTTTTTTTGTGGCTGTGGTGTTATTGTGGTTTTTTGTGGAGTGATTGAGATTTTTTAGTGTTATTGCATTTATTTGGTGTTTTTGCAATTTTTTTGTGGAGTTATTGAGATTTATTATAGTGTTATTGCGACGACTGTGGTGTTATTGTTGTTTTATTGTGAAGTTATTAAGGTTATTTGGTGTTATGACGGTTATTTAGTGCTATTGCGGTTTTTGTATGAAGTTATTTATGTGTTTTTGAGGTTTATTATAGTGTTTTAGAACTATGTATCCTTACCCAATGACATGAGAAAAAAATGAATATTTATATTTGACGTGAAGGGTTTTGTTTTCGAAGAAATGGGCTGGGTTGGGCCGGGTTATGCATTAAAATATAAAATTTTTCAATTTTTATTCACTGGACCGCAACTTACATGTGGCTAAATTTAATTGCAGTACGGACGCATATCTGTGTCCGATCTCCGGGTGTAATATTTTTTTTCTACTCATCATTCTACTTGCTTTTTTTTGGGCAAATAAGAAAAAGTATCACGTAGACATGATGAACGAACATAAAGTTTAGTTGAAAACCTTAGAATTAATATATTGAATAATCATTGGAAAAAAACATGAATCTCTAATCATGCACCATGTCAATTAATGTCTTGACGCTTAACATCATTTCTTGATCAATCCAAAATAAAAATTGACATAGTTGAATTAGACAAATATCATTTGCTCTAGGGGCGTCATTAGTTCTTTATACATCATTGTGATCATTATCCGACACTCACGATCTAGCCCATCAACTATTCACACCAATATGTATTATAAATCTAAAAGAAGAAATATACCATCACTCATATTTACATGTTATATAATGGGCCATTTGGCTTTTTTCTCTTCCTCTTAGTTTTGATCAAACTCAATAATTTCTCAGCTCATGTGGGGATTGTTGGCTAACTTGTAAATCTTCACATTAATTTCTATAGTCATTCTTTATATCATTTAATCATCATTTAAACATGCTTTTTCAGCTATTTCATTCACAAGAAAAGCTATGAAATCATTTAGAGTAATATCCATGAAATTAATAATACAAAATATGACATATCCACAAGTAGCCTAATTATTATAATCACTATAGTAATGTAAATCATAAACATCTGTGTGTGTAGAGAAAGAGAGAGAGAGAGAGAGAGTAATTCATTGATTTGAATGTATGATTTATCTCTTTGTAATTAATTTAGCACCCAAGAAAAAAATGTAACAAAAAGAAGATTCTTGTTTACTGTTGGATCTATACTTACCTATAAAAAATTACCCTGAATTTCTTGTAAATAGTCCTCATAGCATTCCTTGTTTATCACTCTTCTTAAATTCTTGTAGTCATTGTTTAAAGAAAACTCGAATTTAAATTGCAAACTAGATTCAATTTATATGAACTAGCTATTAAAGATAGATTTAGACACTTCATTTTTAATCCTTAAGATTTTAAATTGTTAACTACCCTCTTCATATCTTCTTCAAAATGTTATTATAATTACAAATTGAATGATACTTATTGTTTGTTTTAAAACTAAAAATCTGAAAAATATGACATTTGCTAAACTATTTAGTTAAGTCAATTGAGTTTTCTCCATGACTTAAATAAAAAACTTTTAATTATAAATCTCTCGACCTAAAAGTACCATAAATATTTGATTTTTCAAAATAAAATAAAAAAAGGAATAAAATAATTCTTTAAAGTCATTTTCGAGTTATTTGCTTCTCACATAAACAATTTTCATAGGCTTGCAAATGGATTGAAGTAACACCCCAAATTTATCTAAAAAAGGAATAAAATAATTCTTTAAAGTCATTTTCTAATTATTTTCTTTCTCACATAATCAATTTTCATTCGCTTGCTAACGGATTGAAATAACACCCCAAATTTATCAAAATGAGATAAAATAGTGGAAAAATTATTACATCCAGACCCCAGACTCAAAATTTGCGTCCAGAGTCCAGTGAGAGTGTGCCACATGGCGAGCGGGGCTCACTTACCCCGTGACAAGTACCCTTTGCGTCCGGTGTCATGACACAATAATCGTTCAAAACAGTGAGAGGTTGAAGTGTAGTTTCCGCCAACAAAATATTTTATAAACATTAGAGCTCACCTTGTAGATGAAGGAAATCTAACATGTGGAGCTAAATTTTAAGAAGTACATCTAGAATCAAAATTTTTTTTTCCTGAAATCCAATTTCAACTTAAGAGATGAAGAAGTGATTCATATTTTTAATCCATAAAGAATTGTTTTAATCCAATATGCAGCCTGCTGTCTACCATTTCCTCGAAGAACTATCAAGAGCCATGGGCCAAAATGTTCGATTCAAAATCGATGATGTGTATGAAGCAGGCAAACAAAATGCTGGGGCAAGGTGGCATCTTGGTAACTAACTATTGTTTTTTCAACATAAAATTTATATACTGCTAAACATAAATAAAATCATGAAAAATTTATACTTTTATTGCAGAATGGAACGATCGTATCATTCCTTTCACTAAAGGTTGCAGCTTTTTTTACTGCTCAGAAAATACAAGGGGCCTTCTCATAAAGTACTATTCGAACAATCCATAATTTGTTAAAACTTACACAATCAAACAATCTTATTACATTACAAACTAATATATTGTTAAAAATATTGGGAAGAATTTACTGTTAGTAAATTTATTTTATCAGATTCAAATAAATTGAAGTACAGTTTGATCATGTCTATTTTTAACATTTTTTAAATTGTTATATCATGCAAGTATAAAGGCTGTGATTCTATGTCATTATAGTTTGAAATAGTAAAAAAAATATTAAAAAAATATGAATTTTAACATTCAATTCTCTTAAGAAAGCAAATGCTTTACAAGATCAAGTTTCTTAACAATATTACAGTTGAAACATGTCTTAACAAGCATTATCATTAACATAACTATATCCTTCAATCAGACAACTAGGTAACTACATGAAAATCCATTTTAATTGTATTTAATATCATTAAAATATTGCAGGAAAGCTTGTGTATTTGTTGAATCACCAGTAAAGCCAGGAGCAATAGTGCTGGTAAAGTTACGCCAAACTTATTATATCATATTCAAAAAATGAGTAATACATAATATCATTCATTAATTTCAATTTTCTGACGAACCATTTTTCTGCCATATCAACTGCAGAATTTGCTCGGCTTTGTGACTTCATTTTTTGATAAGTTTCCAAAGCTGGCTGTCTGTAAGTAACTGTTTGTGGGAATAGAACTTAAACTTAGGCTAAATAGAATTAATAATGTAAGATATTCTTATGTTTCACAAGACATTATATATAAATGCCTCTATTTTTTATCTTATAAAATATGAATGCCTTTATTTTTACTATGTAAAATACAGTAGAGATATTACAATTGAATGAATATGACTCATATTATGAATAGAATTTAGCTCAAGATATAATTTTGGACTGCAGGGTTCCTAGAGAAGCCTCATGTATTGTTTCAGTTCTTGATGAAAGCATACAAAATATTCCTTGAGCCGCTCATGCTTCCAATTCTTATTTACTACACACAACTATGGAGATATGGGACTCGTTTTCTAAGCCTTGTGATCAACTTAATTCAAAATATTTGGAAGGCTTTTTTGTAATGGGGAAGGGTTACTCGGTTACAATAATTTGCTCATTATTCACCACTTCATTCCTTTTTCTTAGCATTGTTATTTTGTTTTGCTTTTCTTTAATTTTGGGACATTTACATACATAGCACATAATTCTTATGTATTTACATATCTCACACTAAACATTCATATTCACACACATAGCACTTTAGTGCTTTAAAAAGTGTTGATAGTGCTAATTATGATGTGATAGTAAAGATTTTGAGCGCACTACGTGTAAATATGAAATTTAGGAGTCAGATATGTAAATACATAAGTTTGGAGTGCTATTTATTATAAGCCCCCTCATTGTTTTTGGTAATAAAAAAACTATTTTGTATGCAGCTTTATAATTAATATATTTTTCTTGGAACTATATGGAAATTGAAGATGGTGTATTTATTTACATACTATGGTTTATTTGTACAAGATAGATATGATTGAATAAATTCTTAAAGCTGTTTAGTGTTACACCTCATCTTTTTAGGCTATATTGCTGGAGATTTGACTGATGGATTTAGAACATATTTTGATGCATGCATGTATGCATGATGAATAAAATAGAATGAAGGCAAAGCTTAAAAATATTTTTATCATGTCATAAATAAATAAATCATGGTTAGAATGGTTTCATCTCAAACTACTCTTTTATCTTTTTATTGGTTATATGAAGTTTATGCTAAACTCCTACTTTTTTGTTTTGGTTGTGTATAAATCCCAAAGGATCAAGTCGCCAAAAAGCTAGTGAAATCGCTAATATATCAAATGCATTAAAATATGTTTATTGCACCTGTCTGAAAACAGTTGTGAGAAATTTATTTTTAGAAAAATGATCATTCTGTCCCTGTTTACTAAAATTTTATGAAACATAACTGTGAGAGTCATATATTTATACTTCAGAAGCAAAAGTTAATTTTAAAATAGAACAAAAGTTCAGATGTATAACTCACTTAACAGTAAGTACCGAAAGTGCTAAAGAAAAAAAAAACTAATAAAATTATAAGTAAATTAATGATGATATTATTTTTAACATGAAGGCAATGTATGTCTTGTCCTAAACTGTCCTCCAATGATACTATCAATTCATTATCACCTTTAGCAGTGGAATCAACCTGACCATCAACACATCAAAAGAAGTCACACTTTTCTGCGAAGCTCGTGGGCATCTATAAACTGTTGATTGTAGCTATGGGCTGGCGTGACCTCAGAAAGGAAGTCTCTAGTTCACAGTGACATAGTAATCTTCGGGACGTCCCTAAAATTCGGGAGCTTATCTTTTTTAAAAACAACAAAATAGAATCCATTAGTCAATTATTTTAAGTTGGAAACTATCTGAAAAAAGACTTAACTAGAAGAAAAATTGTAGTTAATGCATACATTCCATTCCAACAAAAATTGTAGTTAATCAAACAAAAAATTTAGCCACTGTAATAGGTGCTAAACAAAAACCAAAAGCCACTGAAAATCCAACAAACCGTTGCACATCCAAATGAATCCAACCCCATTGTAATAGATACAAATGAATCCAATCATAAGACAACAAAATCCAACAAATCCAACAAGCTGATGTGCATACAAAAACCAAAACATATTTTTCGCGTCTGTGAAGAGGGGAGAAGATAAGCATACCGTGTGTGAAGAGAAGAGAAGGAAGAGGGGAAGAGTAACCAAGCAACAAGAGAATAGGAGGAAGAGGAGGTAGAAGACCATAGAGGAGTGAATCACACCGTCGACAGGAGGGGAGAGGGAAAGAGAGATCGAGACAACAAGGTAAAAAGACACACGCGAAAAGCCGGCCGCAGGTTATAACATGTGGTCTACTTTTTACTGATTTCCACCAACGCCGCTCCCTCGCCGCAGCGCCAAACGAACGAAAACAACAGCCCCAGACCGCGCCGCTCCCCCACTGCTGTGCCAAACGGGCCGTAAGTGAAACCCTTTTCAAATAAAGCGTACCTAATAAAAATATTGTCATAATAAAACCTTTATCAAACTAAAATAAACTTAAAAGAAGCATTTTTAAAATTTAAATAAACCTAACAAAACATTTTCAAATGAAACCAACATAAGAACATATTTAAAATTAGACATGACCAAGCAAATCATCTTTAATCCAAAGCGAACCCTTCATTTTTCAAAACCTCTCATAAGCTCAACGATTATATAAATTCTCATACAAAATTATATAAGTTTGCAACTCTTTGGAAACTTACTAATGAGTTCAAATCATTAACATCAACAACTAAATGGATCTCTGATTTATTCCTCTTAGCACTGTATTGTTTTTCATCTTCAAGCTCTCATTTGTTTAACCTTAAACCCCAAAAAAATTTTTGCTTTTTCAAATATCTCTCGCACCCCGTGACGCCTGCTTTTTAAATTTTTTTTTAGGATGTCTTGCATCTCTGGACATCAAAAATCAGATCGATCACATATCATCCGATTATTGAAGCCGCCCGGACGTAACTTTACATCTCAACTCCGCACGTAATATCTTCTCTTAGTAATTGAAAAATCAATAACGGTCCATATATCCCTATATTAAAAATGTAAGGTGACTGTAGGATAGAGAAAGCAACTGCCCTATCCTTTAATTCCAAAAAGAGATTAGTAATCTAGTTATTGATTTTTTATTTTATTTTTTTAAATGCCAACTATTTTAGGGTTCAAAATCAAGAGGAAATATTGGGAGGGTTACACGCACCTGTAGCTAGCCAATAAGAGAGGCAGGGTAGGGAGAGATAATGTGTCTCTACTCTTCTCTCATCTTATTGGTCAAATATGTTTCCTAAATCAAACCCAAAAAAAAAAAAAAATCAACGAAAATTGCCTCCAACAAATAAGATTTTTATATGTCAACCGCCAGTTTATCTCTCAACATCAAAACTATATTACTTACTCCCTTAACTTTTAAAATTTTTTTAAATATCAACAAAAATATAATTTACCCCAAAAGCCATTAAGAATCACCCTTGCACGTCTCTCACATACTTGCGAGTTGTTGTTTTCATCGCTATCGCCACCGCCACCATCACCGCCACTGCCAACGCCACCGCCACCGCCACCCCCGTATCACACTTGCATGGCCGCTACATCTTACACCGGTCGACAAAGCATATGAAGGGAGCTCGTTAGGAGATTGTGACGATCATGACGAAATTTGCAAGCTCTAAGAATTCATGGCAATCAAGATGACTCCAAGCATTGATGCGAGAAGTCGTGATGAAGCCCGTTAAGGCAACACAATAACAATGTGGTAAATTAAAATAGTAAACTTTAGGGGCTAAATATGCAAATGAGAAATTTTTAGTTTCAAAAATCTCATTTTTATCATCCCCTGCGGCTGATTGCCTGATACGGTTACATGGAACATCTGGAATTGCACCCAACGGATGAGGATAAGGATCTAGCTCGTCACTAACATCCGCACTCAGCTTCCTCCGCCATCCTCCTTCGCAATTCGGTGTAATTCATCTCCAAATTAACACCCCAAAACACCTTCCAACCATTGCCTCCAAACCCCCCCCATCCCATCGCCACCTTTAAATACCAACCAAAACTCTTCCCCCTCCATCCCTCCACATTGATCCCATCCCTATTCCATGGCGACCAACAGCGAAGCCACCACCCTGCTTCCGGCCATCAACACCCCAAACGGCAACCCGATGCCGTCAAAAGACCATCTTTGCCACGACGATAGCACCCCTGTCGTCAAAGCTCAAACCATCGACGAGCTCCACTCACTTCAAAAGAAGAGATCCGTTCCAACCACACCAACCAGCCATCACCCTGACGAATTCCAAAAGCTCCATCTCCAATCCATTAGCGCTTCCCTCGCTTCCCTAACCCGCGAGACAGGACCCAAACTCAAGTCCGTAAAGCAACAAATCGACTACCTCAGCCCCACTGCATCCCTCACCACCAGCGATTGCTCCCTCAAATTCACCCACATACTCCACAATCTCTCCCCGGCCGAGCTCTACGAACATGCCATTAAGCACGAGAAAGGCTCTTTCATAACCTCCAGCGGCGCCATCACCACCCTCTCCGGAGCAAAGACGGGCCGCTCGCCGAAAGACAAGAGAGTGGTGAAGGACGAAACCACCGCCGCCGAGCTCTGGTGGGGCAATGGCTCCCCGAACATCGAAATGGACGAGCATGCTTTCCTCGTCAATCGCGAGAGAGCTCTCGACTATCTTAATTCAATCGAAAACGTCTTCGTCAACGACCAATTCCTCAATTGGGACACCGAAAATCGCATCAAAGTCCGGATCGTCTCCGCCCGCGCTTACCACTCGCTCTTCATGCACAACATGTGCATCCGGCCGACACGAGAACAAATCCTGGATTTCGGCGCTCCGGATTTCACCATCTATAACGCCGGCCAGTTCCCCTGCAACCGCTACACGAACTACATGACTTCCTCCACCAGCGTAAACCTCAATCTTTCCCGGCGAGAAATGGTCATCCTCGGCACACAATACGCCGGCGAGATGAAAAAAGGTCTTTTTAGCCTGATGCACTATCTGATGCCTCAAAGGGGCATCCTTTCCCTTCACTCCGGATGCAACATGGGAAGACATGGCGACGTCGCCCTGTTCTTCGGCTTATCCGGCACCGGCAAAACAACCCTCTCCACCGATCCCGACCGCTTCCTCATCGGAGACGACGAGCATTGCTGGAGTGAATCCGGCATTTCCAACATCGAAGGCGGTTGCTATGCCAAATGCCTCGATCTTTCCCCCCAGAAAGAACCGGATATCTTCAACGCCATTAAATTCGGAACCGTGCTTGAAAACGTGGTTTTCGACGAGCACAGCCGTGAGGTCGATTACGCCGATAAATCCGTCACGGAGAACACCCGCGCTTCCTACCCGATCGACTTCATCCCCAATTCCAGAATCCCCTGCATCGGCCCCCACCCGAAGAACATCATCCTCCTCGCCTGCGACGCGTTCGGCGTCCTCCCTCCGGTCAGCAAACTGAATCTCGCGCAAACCATGTACCATTTCATCAGCGGCTACACCGCTCTGGTTGCCGGGACAGAGGACGGCATCAAGGAGCCGCAAGCCACATTCTCTGCTTGTTTCGGCGCGGCGTTCATTATGCTTCACCCGACCAAGTACGCGGCCATGTTGGCGGACAAGATGCGGAGATACGGCGCTACGGGGTGGCTGGTCAATACGGGGTGGTGCGGCGGTAGGTACGGGGTGGGAAGTCGGATTAAGCTCGCGGACACTCGTCGGATTATCGATGCGATTCACGGGGGAAGGCTTCTGAAGGCGGAGTATGGGAAGACGGAAGTGTTTGGGCTGGAGATACCGGCGGCGGTGGAGGGAGTGCCGCCGGAGATTCTGAATCCAATGAATGCTTGGGAAGATAAGGAGGCTTATAGGGAGACGTTGGTGAAGCTGGCTGGTCTTTTTAAGAAGAACTTCGAGGTGTTTGAGGATTGTTCTATCAACGGAGAGTCGGAGCTGACCCGGGAGATCTTTGCTGCGGGGCCCATTGTTTAAGATTCTATGGATTGACTTTATGTCATATTTAGATGTACCTTTAATAATTTCGCTTAAGCTTTATAAATTGTACGGTAAGTTGTATTCTTTTATATTTAAGCTTTATTTGTCTATGAATCACATTTAAAGGATAGAGCATAAAAAAAATATTAAAAGAGAGAGAGAGAGTAAAAATTAATAATTTCACTGCATTTTTTTTATTCAAAGCCTATTTTGCACGTTATTGATGTTATAATTATAGTACATGGAAGTTACATTATAAAATGTCGGTAATTATGATTCACTGTAGTCGGTTGATTGTAGTAACTATTAAAACTGTCATTATTTTTGTTGAAATCTTTCTCATCGGAGCATCATTTCGCTTGGTCTTATGCTGGCGAGTCATTCATTTGCTTATTCAGTCGAACTTCTCAGTTTGGTTAGCCGGATAATTTGCTCCATGTTGGCTTTTTTTTTTGCTTGCGAGGGTTGATTCTTCGATACATGTTCTATCCTGAGTCGTTAGATCTTGTTTGGCGTATTTTGATCATACATATTTTCTCATGTATTTAGTGAGTTGCAAGCTGGCGTAAGCAAGAGAATTATTAGGTTCTTATTTATTTAATTAATTCCTAGTAATTGTTGTTTCCTTAATTTTTGTGCATTTGATTGCTTATAAATATGTATTAGTTTATTTTCAACTTGGCATACTCCTTTCCCTTATTTCTTGCTCTAGTTGCCGTTCTGAGACATCTTATGATGGACAAATTCTCTTATTATCATATGGAGTAAGCTTCCGCTGTATGGACTTTTTGTTGAGGAAAAAAAAGCAAGAGACACCCTAAGGGTGGTCGTAAGAACAAGCTAGTGGTGAAGAAGAGGAGACTCTTACCCTTGAGTCTAGTAAGATCTTCTGGAGTAGCTCCTGAAGGTACTCTGCGGCCTCACCATTCGATCGTCCCATACACTCGTGCCTCCCACCACAATCTCTAATTTGATGGAAGGCTATGCATTCATGCCACATGTTGGTTCATTGCCATTACACCAGACACACCTTCAAGAGTCGAGGACATCTAGAATAATTGGAGTTATGGGTACATTATATTTTTCAGTGGAAGTATTTTTATGGTTGCTTATTGACTGGTGATTTTGTCAATTGTAGAAAAGACATATGATGAGACCCCTCTCGGTTTGAACGAGGATCCATCGACATCTGTCACAATTGAGAGGTAGATGGAGAAAGGAAGTGGTCAACCCACCATGGAGAGAGATCAGGTTGGCGGACTCAGGGATCTCCATTTTTTACTATGGTACAAAGAGAAGGGGCATATTCAACCCATGTGGATCGGTCGGTTGCCTTAATTTTTGAAATGATTTTTTTAATTTAATTTACATATAATTTTGCTTTTTGAAAATAGTATTTTAATTTTAAAAATGAGACCAAAAAGTTCTCACACATTTAATAGTTTAAATAATCAAACACCACACCACAAGAAATGCACATATCCCGAGAAATAGAAACATTTCTAATTAGCGAGGCTCGATTACATAAATTAAAGAAACTTACAACATCCTTTTGATTTGCGAACTTTTTTATATGTCGACCGATAAATTATCCTATATAATATAAGGATTAGATAGAGTTTATATTACATGGGTTCTAAAGTTTCCTATAGAGGCAATCCTCATAGTTAAATACATTTTAAATGATCAAAATCATTTAAGAAAACTCTCGTTAATGAGAAGAAGTATTTATCTTCAAGCTAAGCTATTTTAACACCAAATTCAAACTTATTTGCTCAATCCACTTTAGCTCAACCTAAGCTGACTCATTTGAGCCAAAACCAAGCTAAATGTCAGCCAAAACCAATCTTAAATCAAGCCTAAACCAAGCCATGTCTAAGCCATCCAAGGCACTTGATTTTCAATCCAAATAAAGTTGTACCACACACAACGAAGTGTCTCATTCCCGTTAGCCATTAACCGAATTGTTTTAACCAACTTAACAACCTCAGAAGGCTAACTTGAACTCACTCAACAATTTCTTTGCTTTCAAAGGAAGCTACCCTAAATTTGATGCACAGTTGGAGATCTTCCATTGGCCGCCAACCATCTTTGAGCTCACACTTGTACAAATTTCATAGTCCTCGAGCTCTGACTCTGTCATGTCAGTAAAGCACCAATAATTGATGCATGAACTCATTCTAAGCTTCATAGAGCCCAACCAGAGCATGTAAGTAGGCCTTAGGTTCACCCTTTGGATGTTGTTGAAACCATGTTGATGCTTGTTGAAACTTTGCCCAATTCACTTATAATCATTTTCTTGAGCCTTTAGTCACTTCCCTTATTAATGCGAAGCCTTCTCATCTGAAATTTCCCACCAACCTCTATAGCCCAAACCATGGCAACTTGGATTTCACTCACCCAACCCCCATTTCCTACATCCAAACTTTACAAGACCTTCCATAAGTTGTAAAATCCAATCAACAACTCAATGCCAATTATTCTAAGCCCTCTATCCCTCTACTAGACCATACTCAAATCATTCTCAATTGAGTTCTTAGAGGAAGCACGAGAAAACTCAAGTTGATGTTAGAGGAATACTCGAAGAGGTCAAGCGATCGATCAACATTGTTGAAAATGAAGTAACAGTTTGTGTGTTAAGATAATTCTTCAAAAACTGTGTTGATGTGTGCTTTTAAATAAATAAAAAATTAATTAATTAATTAATTTAAGGAAAATAGCCAGAGCATTAATAATTCATATAAAATAAAATTAAAATAATTAAAATAAAATAAAATTGTTATGAAATAAAAAAAAAAAATCAATAATTTTGAATCAAAATTAAAAGAAAATGTCAATTATAATTTCAATAATTTAAATAAAGTGGATAAACACCTAATAAATTATAAAATAATAAAATAATAATAAAAATAAATAAAATATTTCACAATAATTTAATCTTGACACAGATGACATTCCATAAGAATAAAAACAAACAAATTAATATTGAATTATAATTTCCAATAAAAAATTATGATTAATTAAAAAAAATAAATATAATAAATAAATAAAAATGATATATATTGAAAATTTTAAGAAAATTTTAAAAACAGTGTTCATTCAATAAAACAGTGATTTCACTCATTTGAATCCAATAAAACCTTCTTAGATCTGTTAGGATATATTTATAAATTTAATATTTATACTTTTACCTTTTATTTCTACAATTTAATCAAAATAAAAGAATCACATGTTCAAATTATGTTGTTATGGTCAAATATACATTGAAATGAATTAGGCAAGATGGATTTCATCTTGAAAAGCAACTTCATGCAACAAGGTATATTTGTAAATATTGAACATGTTAGAAATTACCTTTTTGTAATTATTTGGAAACACCATATCTTGCCAATTGATGTACTCACTGATTGGAATATTTCATAAGAATTTGTTAAAATCAGCAAGTGAAATTGATGAAGATTTAAAGGAAATTGTGTAAATTTAGAACCCTAACTATTGATTTAAACAATTAGAATTTAGAAAATGGGCTAAATTTTATTGAAAATCAATAATTAATTAACATTAATTTTTAGTAAAATTCATGGGTAGAAAAGTAAAGAAAAGGTGTATTTGTAAGTTCCCTCCTTTCCTGACTTTTAATTTCTGAAAATGATTTCAAACATTTTTTTAATCAACAAAACAATAAGACATTGGTAAGATTCTATTGCTTTTAAGTAGGGACATCAAAACGGCTCGTTATTCAGGAATAACTCGTGTTCGGCTCATTAGGAAGCTCATGTTTGGCTCTTTTGCTAAGTTCGCGAGCTGAACACGAACACAGATTTGCTCATTTGTGTTCGGCTCGTTTTGGCTCGAAATACTACTCAATAAATATATATAAATATATATATACATTGATGAGTAGTATTTTTAAAAAAATTAATTGACTACAAGGCTACAAGATTTATAATCAACTAGAAGTATTAATTAAGAAAATAGAATGAAAATTATTAAATTAGAATAAAATGATGTTTTAATTAATTTTTTTTTTAAAAAAAATCTTACCACAACCCTTAACATCTTATGGCTTAGGGTTATCAAAATGACTTTTTGTTCACGAACAACTCATGTTCGGCTCGCTAAGCAAAAGAACCAAACACGAACACACTTTTTGAGCTCGAAATATAAATGAGCCGAACTCAAGCCGAGCCTCGATTCGCTCGTGCGGCACATTTACACCCCTAGCTTTAAGTAATAAATAGTATATTTGCAGTTTTCCAAAATTACAAATACACCCTCATTAATTTTAATCCATCAAAATGAACCTTTTCGACTTAAAAACTTGTAAAATCATTAATAAAAGAGTTTTTGGTTCTTCGTAAATTTAGAGTCACCAACCTCTTCAATCGTCATCTCAGGACTCCCATTTTCAAAGAGCCCTCTTACTCGAACCGTCGAAACGATTCCGAGAATGAGAGGGATCGGAAAATGGGGAATAAGACAAAAACTAGACGAACAAAATTTAAAAAGAATCATGAAAAACTTACGTAAGATAAATCTCCCGTGATAGGTCAAACAAAGCACTTCTAGTGCTGTCCAAAATCTTACCTTATGACATTTGCCCCATCGGCACCATACTTTACTTTTCTTTATGTATTTGTATATTAATTAAAATTTATTTTACTTTCAACTAGGAAATAAATAATAATCTGATCAATTAATTTATTAATCATTCAAATAACTTTAAATATTTTAATTAACAACATAAATAGATACATTTACATATATATACAACTCCTTTCCAATTTTATATCTCATCTTATTTAGGTATATTTGCAACAAATTACCATCATAATTACTAATCCTAAGAAATTTCCTCCCCCCTTTCCCTAAACAATAAATAAATAAATAAATAAATAAATAAATAAATAAATAAATAAATAAATAAATAAATAAATAAATAAATAAAAACAATCTTGCGTTCCGATTCCTGCACTCTACGGAATCTCTTCCCCGCGATCATCTTCCAATCAACGCAAGGAAATAGATGGCAATTCGTAAATCCAAAGATTTCATCGCTTCTGGACACAACCAGATCCTCCCGCCTATAAATACCAGCACCATCGTTCCCACTTTTCCCTCTACCTTCTCCAATCCCTCACTCTTCTTCTCCGCCGTTCTAATGAAATCCTCCCACATACAAAGCAGAACAATTCTGCTAACGGTATTCTTCCTTCTTCTTCCTTATTTTGTTACTCTCGGATTCTTTCTTCCATCCCCCTAAGTTTTCCATTCCGATTTCCGCAGATCATCGCTATTTTCGCATTCGTGTGGAAGGCGGAGTGCCGGCAGGCGAAGGAGTTCGACCGGCTGCTGTGGTCTGCAGGATCGCCGGGAGGATGCCGATCCCACGTTGCCGATCTGACACAGTTTGGCGGAGTGGATGATGGGGTTACATCGAATACCAAAGCGTTTCGCGACGCCATTGCTAATCTCAGCGAATACGCCTCCGATGGAGGAAGCATGCTCGTCGTTCCGCCGGGGCGGTGGCTCACCGGGCCTTTTAACCTCACCAGCCACTTCACTCTCTTCCTCCAAGCAGATGCAGAGATTGTCGCAAGCACGGTACGCTCACCTCCTATGATTCACGTGCAGAGGGGAATGTGTGGGGACTTGGGTGACATAGTAGAGACAATAGGATTAATTGGGGATGGGTTCACGGGTTTGTTTTGGCGCTGATCTTATTGTGTGACTTTCATTTCCGGATTTGTTTGGCGTAAATTTGATTCAGCATTAGCGCGATAACTTATCTTCTGCAGTCAGAAATTTCATCCATGGAATACAGTTTTGAAAGTAGACCTTTGTTCTATTTCGATCTTAGTCTGCAAAAGTTCTAGTTTTGATTTTTCTGACAATTTTGATATTTATTATATTTAACATTTGTCATATTTTAGAAGTGAAATACACCTTTTCATGTATAATTTTATGAAATCAATATATATGAATTGTGTGGCATGTATGCAAATTTCACTTTTTAAATATAAAGGATATTGATATTATTCTCTTAAAAATTATGTTTTGGTGATACTGAAATTTGATGGATTTGGTTGAATTTTGAACCTTTAGTTGAGATTTTGATGATTATTGCTTTAACATTTACATTTACAGAAATTATTCTATGTGACCCTAACGGAAAGTGAAATATTTAGTTTTAAACTGGTCTCAAAAGGATTCCAAATAATGAAAATATAAATTGTTTAAAAATTAAAAAAAAAAAATCATTTTTTTTTATTCTGTTTCTTCCATGATATGTTCATTTGTTCTTAAACTCAACAACTTTCCATTAATGTAGATTTTCTTTTATTTTCTTTGTAATAGATGATGTACTTCAAGTAAAATAAAAGTGCACGTCATATAAAATAGAAACTATTAAATATGAAAAATAAACCAATTGAAAAGCACTGTTTGGTGTCAAAAAGCAAAAGAAGAATCTTCTACTACTAAGAATGTAAGAAGATCTGAAAATCTGAGAGTTAAATTATGAGGCATTATTTCAACAATACTAAAAAAAACAGCCTCACAAATTTCTATTTTTAACCCATATTAAACGTAATCTATATTTTTGCTATTGTGATGCAAAGTAATTTAGGACATGAAAAAAAAAACCCATTTTAACTTCGTTCATGCAATAAACTACTCCACATTTCAATTGCACAAATTCAGGAAAGACAAGACTTATGCAACACATTTATACCAACTCTAACATCGCCTTCATTAATTAACAATAACTGGCCAAGATTTACCAAACAGTTGCGTGTTATAACCCCTCGCCAATTCATTAGGATTACATTAAATGAACAAACTTTAATTTCGAATGACTAGATTGCACCAAACATCACAGCTAATTTTTAAAATTCATATATTAAAAACATATACTCTTTTTAAATTTTAGTCAGGCTACATACCAAAATTTGAATACCACTTACTTCATGATTATTAGTATTAAACTTTCCTTAAATGAAATAAGACAGGATATGGATGAGTATCCGATCGTGGAGCCATTGCCGTCTTATGGAAGAGGAAGGGATACTACTGGTGGAAGATACAGCAACTTCATCTGGGGTACTAACCTCACCGATGTCATCATCACAGGTGCAGCAAAACAAAAATTTTCTAATCTTCGATTAAATATTATGTATGGAGTTTACATGCATGTGGAATCCTTATACAATATGGGTTGTAGAAGGAGTTCTTATGCATGCAGACTTCACAGTAACATTCTCTCCCAATCTTCTTGTTCAGTAGATAAGTTGTTATGATTTATGCACACAAAAATAGGGGAAAACGCGACGATAGATGGTCAAGGCCAGTTCTGGTGGGATAAATTTCACAAAAAGCAGCTGGACTCTACTCGCGGATATCTCCTTGAGCTCATGCATTCGGAGAACATCCTCATCTCCAACCTCACTTTCCTTAACTCTCCAGCATGGAATCTGCATCCGGTTTACTGCAAGTTAGTGTTCTGCTAACCACATTAATTTAGAATTCAAGCTGGGTTTTTGATTTTCAACTAGTGGTTTAATCTAAAGCAGCTATCTTTCTGATTCATCTGTAGCAATGTCATCATTTCTAATGTCACCGTTCTGGCTCCTGTGGACTCCCCCAACACCGATGGCATAGATCCAGGTAAATTTCAGTAAGTTGTGTAGAAGAAGAGAGATAGAAAGCGCATAGCAAGAACATGATTTTTAATAATGTATTATGAAAGACTGGAAATCAAATGTCTCACAGTTTCAAAATGGGGATGAACTTAAATCACCTTTTCCTTCCATTGCTCCAGACTCATGTTCCAACGTCCTGATCGAGGACAGCTTCATAGTCTCCGGCGACGATTGCATCGCCGTCAAGAGCGGCTGGGACGAATACGGAATACGCTACGGGCGGCCAAGCGAACACATCCTCATCCGTCGCGTCACCTGCATCTCCCCCTACAGCGCCGTCATCGCCCTAGGAAGCGAGATGTCCGGCGGCATACAAGACCTCCGGGCGGAAAACATCGTCGCCATTAACTCCGAATCCGCCGTCCGCATCAAGACCGGCATCGGCCGCGGCGGCTTCGTCCGGGATATCTTCGTCAGGGGAATGAGACTCCACACCATGAAATACGTTTTCTGGATGACGGGGAATTACGGGAGCCACCCGGACGACCATTGGGACCCCAATGCTCTCCCGGAGATCACGCGGATCAACTACAGCGATTTCGTTGCGGAGAACGTGAGCATGGTGGGGAATCTGGAGGGGATTGAGAAGGATGTGTTTACGGAGATTTGTATTTCGAATGTGACGGCGGAGCTGAGCGCGAAGGCGAAGAAGGTGGTGTGGAATTGCAGCTTTGTGGAAGGGGTGAGTCATGGTGTGAGTCCGAAGGCGTGCGATGAGCTGCCGGAGAAGGGTTGCTCCTGCTCTTACCCGACGATTCCGATGCCGATTGAAGATGTTCGGGTTGGGCAGTGCGGGCGGTAGAATGGAAAAGGTGGTTGGGTTTAATTATTATAAGTATGATTAATTTATGTTTATTTATTTTAAAATGGTTTAAAAAAATTTAACTTGTTTTTTTAATCACAATAAAATTGGTTCTTGTTTTTTTCTTACTTTGTCTTTATATATATATTTTTATTATTTTTTTATTTTTGAACTTTTTGTGGCTTTACTCTAAAAGAGGAAGCAATGGAGAGAAAAAAGATTTATGTAGCCAACCCGGCTTACAAGAGAAGAAAAGCTTGTTGTGTTGTTGTTGAAGTTTTGTGGCTTTCGGGGAATGGTATTTTTCTTACGAGCTGAGCTTGAATCAGCTTAGACTTGGCTCGTATTCAACTTGTTTGCAATTAGCTCGTTCTTTAAAATTGTTCACAAACAATATATTTGTGTTCGATTTACACATTCTTGTTCTCATTTGAATAAAAATTGGCTTGTTAAAGTTAATTAGAAAAAAAAAATTGTAAGGCAGTGAAATCAAACTTGTACAATTCTTATACAATAAAAAACACAAAACTACATGATCATACAAGTTATGTTGAGCTAAACTTAGATATAAATATTGATAATATATTATTTTATTAATTAAATATATATTTCAAGCTAAAATGAACCGAATTCGATTTTGTTTTCGGCTTGTCCATAATTTCAGCTTAAAAAATTTATTCGTGTTCATCTAACTTTACAAACAACACTTTTTTTTTGACAACCTTACCTCAACGTACTATTAGTGACAATATGTCTGCTAATTTAATTAAAAAAAGTATATCAAATTGCCAAGAAATACATGACATTGCCAGTAATAATTTATAATTTTGGATGTTGTAATACATCAAGTTTCTGACTCAGAACTATACTAAACATTTATCATTTATGTTGTTTTGTAACAATAATTAACAAAATATAATGAGTATCGAATTTTTTCTTTACTTTAATATATAAAGTATCAACATGTATCAAATATCTTTATAAAAATTTGATCAAAACTAATCTAAAATTCATTGAATCTTCTTAAATGAGCATGAGCATGACATATGAGAAGGTAATTAATTTGGTTTCTTAGCCCACTTTCTTTTTAGCAAGTTTGGCAAATATATCTACAAAAAGTCTGATATGCAGATCCATCAGGTATACGGAGCACTTCATATATAAATTGGAGGAAAGCAGTTCTCACAGATCCATCAAAATCCAAGTATTTGAAGCAAAAGATTTTTAACAATTCTAAAAAGCCAAGTTTGATCAAATCCATGGGAAATGGTTCACTTTGGTATTCCTTGTTTTCTTCATTTTTTATCCTTGATCTTTGAGTCAAAATGGTGGGCTTTCTTTCTCTTCCTTGGCATGAGAACTGCAGGTCCTGCACCAGCTTTAAAAGGCATGCCAAGGAGAGCCAGCAGTCTCTGGGCCTCCTTATCTGCACTTGCTGATGTGCTGATGCATACATCCATGCCTCTTGTCTTTCCGAGGGCTTCGTATCTGATCTCGGGGAAGACGCTCTGGTCACGCATTCCTATGCTGTAGTTCCCGTGCCCATCGAAACTATTTGGGTTAAGTCCTTGGAAATCCCTGGTCCTGGGGAGCGCCAAGTTGATCAAACGGTCCAGAAAAGAATACATCACCTAACAGAGATGCATGGGATTATCAAGAAACAATTCTGGTTAAGCACGAGAGGAGTTCGATAACGCGGAGAAAAAGGATATAAAGATGTTTGAAATATTAGAGAACACTAAAGATTCCAGTAAGACGAGAAGAGTATTAAGGGAGAGATAGTTAATGTAAATAAAGAAATTTAGGTGTTAGATATGTAAATATTATAGTTTTAAGTGATATGAATGTGAAATTACGTTTGAATATTTGGGTGAAAATGGAGTGCCGGAAAAATAAGCTACTAATTTTAAGAAGAATGTTTTAGAAATTTGAAAGAATGTTGAATGGTGCGCTGAAGTTTAGAGTTTGCTGGTGCATGAGCACCCCCTGGAGATTGGGTAAGGTGGTATAGCACCGTTAGAATACAATTGAATGAACTATCAACTACACAATAATAGAGCTGTCTACCAAAATCGGGTTTTGTGCACGCGTCGAGCAGGCCTCATGGTCTGATGAGCCCAATACCCTGAAAATACAACCATCACTGAAATGATCCTCTATGGTGACCCGCTGACCTTGATCGGCAATATATCAGGTCTGATGAGCCCAATACCCTGAAAATACAACCATCACTGAAATGATCCTCTAAGGTGACCCACGGACCTTGATCAGCAATGTATCAGATGTCCTCTACTAGCTATTGAGAACCTTGTCTCCCTTCTTCAGCCTTAGAATCATGGTATTGTAAAATACATAAGTCGAATGTTGTTTTGCCACAGCCGCATTGCCCATCAGCGACCCCTTCGGAAACTTGGCCGCCATAAACGTTACACCACTCTTATCAAAGGCAGTCACCATCGTCAACGAAGGAGAACTATCATAATGAGCAATGGTGATAGACAAGGGGTTGTTCTCTCAGCATATAAGGACAAATGAAGTGTCCAAACAAATAATCATAACTTCCCAACTTGACTATCAAATATTAATATCCTCCTCGATATGCATTCCCGGAGAGACAAAAGATGTGAATCTCAACTGATTATATATTCTCATTTAAACATGAGAAACGGTAACTACAAAAAAAGAAATAAACAAACATTTCAACAGAAAATCAAATATACGACTAGACAATAAGAGCAAATGAAGGAGAGCAAATAGAAAGATAAAATAAGAAACATTCAAAAATAAAAGAATTGAAGATTTTATTCCCATAAATTGTCGAGACTGATCTTGTTGGACTGGTAAAGCGGTTGCAGAACTAACTGACCGCCAAACACAAGATGATGTGACTAACTCAACTCGAGGTGAAGTTGAAAGAGGGCAAGCCTGGCCTCTGCTTCTTCCATTCATCGTCGAGTCTCATCAAAGGTCTTCAAGCTCTCCTCAAACATCGCCTCCAATTCAGCGATGCGCTCTCTGAAGTTCAAATTAGCAATGATCTCTTGGGCTTCAATATTAGTGATACACTCTCTGGATTCCTGAAGGCTTTCTTCCACAACAACTAACTGTTCCTTCAAGTCGCCCTATCACTCATTGTAGTCTACCTTTAGCTTGCAAAGACTACATACCGTCAAACTAGCGGGCACTTGCAATTCTTCAACAGTTGCTAATCTCTTCAGGAGCCTTTTAAGTGAGAGTTGCAGCCAACATTTGGATCAGAACTGACAGTTCCCTGCTCAAGGCCTTTATACTTCTTACTTGCTTTGTATCTCTACAAGCAGCTAAAGATCATGCTTGGCCGGGAAAGAAGGCTCTTGTCAGAAAATATTACGTTGCCTTTTAAAGACAAATTGATATTAAAATGTCCCTGAGCCTCCCTTTGGCTGCATGCGTTCCTCATAACGTTCATCTTTAGGCCCTACATAACCGCTAAAGACAGCCGCTTGGTTAACTCGTTGGTCAACTGATAAATCTAAATTTGAACAAAACATAAAATCTCACTAAGACCAATCTATCTCTCAAACTTGATCTATTTACGATACTCTTGCTACCCAAGCTAAGTTTAGGTGCAGATCGACAAGGACACCTCCAGACTGATCACCTCTGATGAAGGAGATCCTTTCAAGTCATCTGGAGCAGCCCCCCTCACCTCACTCAAGACGGGATCCAAGATATTAGCACCTTCAGCATGGGGTTCAAAAGGAATCTTTTCCCAAGTCATTTCTCCTTTGCTAGACGAACTACTCTTCCTCTTTGTCAGACACAATATCCTTTCTTTTCTGAAAAGCAGCAGCAATATCGACTCCCCCAGAACCTTTATCTTGGTTATGGTGAGATTCCTCATCGTAGAGGATCAAAGGACAGAGATCTCGAACCAGAAATAAGGTGAATCTGCTCTAATACAAGAAGTTTGCAATCTCAGCACGACGGCCTTATAAACCCATCAAGGAATTAACACTTGACAAAATTAAATAACTATGAAAATTAATGATCTTAAAAGCTTATAAATTTTCTTCCTTTCCTGATAGGGTAACAACATTATATCGAAAGCCCAACTCTCACATCAGGATCATATTTCAAATCACATGACAGTTATTCCCATACAAAATAAAGATCGTAACAGAAACGTAACATTGAGAACCTTGTCAATACAAAGAAGTTATCAAACTTCATTTAAATTCATCACCATCATAATTTTATATATTTCATAAAATCTAAATTAAGCGGGGATGGAAACTGTAAAACCTATCAATTCATGACTACTCTCCATGGAAAGGCTAAAGTCCCCAAGCGAAGAATAGTCTTATCCCTGCTTGAAGACTCAAGAGACTACTCCCTGTAGAAAAGCTAATGCCCTCATGTGATAAATAGTCCAAGCCTGACAGTAGGTAAAAGGACTTCCCTGCAAGAGAACTATGAACCCTAAGTGAGAAAAGTCAGGACTCGATATGGGTAGCATCGCGCGGTTATGTCAATACTGTACCGTGATCCGGACATAGATATAATCAATCTGGAGCACACTTTGTGATCGGTGCGGTTATGTCGATACTGTACCGTGATCCGGCTCCCAAAGAACACCAAAAATCTAAGAAGCACTGTCGTACACCTTAATTACAAATCCTAAGAGGAATGCATTGATATTTGATAACGTGATGAGTGGATATCTTCCATTCTCTTATTCTCCTTGCAATAACTTGTTGAAGAAATAAAAAACTGAGGAATTAAATGTATCCCAAAAATCAGGTTTCGTGAGCTAAAACACGTCTAACAGAACTCACGGGCCTGATAAGCACATTTACTCTGAATGTACAACCATCACTGAAATAATTCGTTAAGTTGACCTGCGGACCTTATTTTCCAAGGTGTTTGTTGTCAAGTACCAACCGCCGAGATGACCTGTCGGATTAACCTAATGGGCTGATCAAGTAAATCGACTTGGCAGACTGACTTGGCAGCTACCCTGCTTGATTAGCCTAGCCAAACTAACTTGCCTAATCCATCTGGCAGAATGACCAAGAAGAATGACCTTTCGAATCAACCTAGGAAGCTGATCAATCAGATTATCAATCGAGCTCACTTTATTGGTGATCCTTGGAGTTGATAGAAAGGAAAAGTTAAGATCGGCATCAAGAATTAGCAATTGTCATATCCTCATTTATGAGTCGCCTGACATCCAGGCCGAAATCATTTTATTGAAACACCATGGAAAGATTTTGAACATCACATCTCACAATTTAATATTTTCATTAACATGTATAAATAGAAGAGAGAGAAATCAAACGAGGGGACCGACTTTCTAGGCCTCTTTTAGAGATCTCAGGTCATAATTCTCTCAAGACCTGTCTTGCACTTTCTCTGATTCCATATTGCACATTAAATCATCTACTACGCTTAGTTGGGAAAGGATCATTGGAAGAACATTTAGTTCAAATCTCAAGAACACATCCATTCTCTCCTTTCGCCCATCTTACACATGTTTCTCCTTGGTTGTGTGAACCCACAAATATTACGGGACCCAACGTCCTAAAAGAATTCAACAAGAGTCCTTAGGATCAATCTAAAATAACAATTTCACGATTTTAGCTTAAGAGAAATTCTACTCAACTATTCGTTTGTTATGATCTTGTATTTCTGCATTATTTTACTCGAGTTATTACCTTTTGCAATTCATCTTTAATGTCTGATAGAAATATGAATACCTGCATAATATTTGATTTACACCACAATATTTCTTTTTAAATCTATTGAGCCGCATCAATATCTTGTGGTTCTTGAACGTCACTATTCATCTAGCCTAAATTAAATGAGTTATTATGAGAATTTGAATTCGGTCTAATAAGTTGGTGATTGTGAACTAATTTGAACAATCGATGACCCAAAATTCAACAAGCCTGACGTCACTCAAATCCTCGAGTTCCCCAAAATTGTATCTTACCAAGTCATCTAAGATCTAAATCCTTGGTACTAAGCTACTGAACTAAACAAAGGACTTGTAGAGTCACCATCTGTAAATACTATTTGCCAAAAAAACTCAGCAAATCACCTATAATACTCACTAATTGACTAGAAATTTTAGCATGAAAATCTCATTAAAGGTATTTTCCCTCAATCTGAAACAGGTTTGAAGTTTCTAACTTGTAGTTAAATACAACTCTAAATTGACCATCACCTATCTACCTAAATTAAGTTCAATTAATGTACATGTAATCATACTAAATAGTTAATTCAGAAATATATATGCAATATCAAATATTTGAAAAAAAAGTGTTGCATCAAATTCTAACACAGACTCACTCTTTTGTTCTCAAATGGTTCAATCCGGTCTTTTAGAGATGAATTCACTAAGTGAATCATTAAGGCCTAGCTTCCATCTTCTGTTGTTAACCATGGAACTTGCTACTACTCAAGCAATGCCCACTGAAGGCCTTTAGAAGGTCCAGTCCACTATGTGCTTGGCTGGAAACAGCTAATGACATTAAAAAGGTTGCTTGAGTTAACAAATAATAATTTCAAATTGGAGAAATACAATCAGGTGACTTTAGCTTCTACCTCTAAGTCTCATTATTTCGAGCCCGTAGGGAACTAACAAGACATCCTCAATCATTGAAACAAGCTGCTCCATAATAAAGACAGATAAAGTGAGAAGCTACACCATCATTAACAACAAAAAATAAGGTTCCTTGTGAAGCATGAGAGAGGCATGTCGACACCTCTCTTAAAAGAAAGGATGCCCCAACCTTCATGGTGTTTGACTTGCACTCCATTTCACATGTTGATGGTTGGGAATGTAGATAACATTCACTACAAAGAGTATTTACACATAACACCATTTATTTGTGACCCATCCAAATTCCACGTCTTCCACGAGGATCACATGAAAGATTGTCATCACCTTCCCAGCCTTATATAAGAACTCTTCTACATTGGCAAGTTGAAGAGATTCACCCGTCCAAACCTAAGACGACTTGACAAGCTTGTCTGGCACAAACAATTCACATTACAAGAATAATTTCAATAAATTTTGGATGGAGCCAGGTCTGATGCGTCAAGGCAAGCAAGCCCCAAGAGACACCAAAAGGACGATACATGCTTCTTCTACTTTGTTAACATATTCAAAAGTGCCAATCACCTTTATAAATGCTGAACGACCATAGCCTAGAGCCAACTATTAGATTGGCAACATCTTGAAGGAAGCGGATAGTTTTTGTTAAGATAATCCTGTATTTATATTATTCGAGGTTGTCTCACAATACCAAGCTGCTCCATGCATTTTACTAGTGAGTGCAGAGAAATAAAAGAACAAATCGTGCTGCCAATGAATTACTTTGCAAGGATGGCGGCCAACTTTACACCGCAAGGGATATCAAAAGCATTGACAAGGTTCAACCTTGTCATATTCCCTTAAGTTCCTTGCACCTTAGTTCTCATTTAAGAAGGGAGCGGAACTACATAACAATGTGATTAAAAGGCTCGCAAGACAATGAAAGAGAGTAGGAAGGCTCTTAAAACCATGGCTCTAGTGTTTCCAAGTGCTTCATCTCTAAACTCAGGAAAAATACTCAGGTCACACATTCCTATGCTGTAGATTCCAAGCCCATCAAAACAGTTGGAGCCCCATGGCGATCAAACGGTCAAGAAAAGAATGCATCACCTAACAGCTCTTCAATGCTAAAATATCAAAAACCTCTTCAAGTTAACTTCAAAAGTAATACCGTGCAATGAAGGCAAATAATTGAACAGTGCTTGAATATTTGGATAAAAATGTGGTACTGGAAAACTAAGTTACTAAATTTAAGAACAGAATATTTTAGAAACTTGGAAGAAAAACCTGGAAATAAAAGCAGAACATGAATGGTGCAATGATTTTAGTAAGTTTATTGGTGCAGAATCATTCCAATGTAGGGGGAAGCCTTCATCAATGTAGAAAGGCCAAGGTACTTCAGAATCGTACCAAGAGAAAGAACTATTAACTTGACACTAATAGAATCCTCGGAATCAATCTAAAAATAATAATTCCATGATTTTAGATAAGAGTAATTCTAATCAACAATTTGTTTTTTAAGTTCTTCTATTTCCTCCATTATTTTGTTGAGTTACTACTTAAGCAATCTATCCAGCAGTTGTACCTTCATGTTAAAAATATGATTTCCCGCACAATATTTGATATGCACCATAAAATTTTCTTTCTTATCTACTAGTCAGCCACACTAATATCTTGTGGTTCTTATACATCTATATTCATCTGAGCTGAATTAATCAACTCATTATAAGAATCTAAAATGGGTTTAACAAGCTGCTAATTTTTAACTGATTTAAACCACCTATAATTCATCAAATTTAGCCAATCATGAAATCACTCAAAGCCTCCAGTATGCCAAAAATGAATCTCATCAAGCCGCCTAAGATCCAACCTTAGCTCAACCAGCAGTGTTGAATTGCTGATATCAGCCGAAGGACACAGTCACAATTCATCAAGTCTATTTAGCCAAAGAGCTCGACAACACAGCTATCATAATCACCAATTTACCAAAGGTTCTAGCCAAAAAGGGTACAGCCCTTAATGTAGAACTCATCCAAGTTCTGAATTGCAATCAACCATTAGTCTGACTCACCCATTACATAGCTAGACAAATAAGAGGCCACTGTTCGAGTGTGGACGCATGTAATATTGAATGTTGGAAAAAATTTTCACATCAAATTCTAATACAATTTAGGATTCTCATTAAAAGTACTTTCTTTTTCTCTGAATGTTTCCTTCTAGATCAGTTTAACTCGCACCTCTACTCAAATAGAGTTCAACTGGTCGTTTATAGATCAAGTCGCTTGAGAATTGTTATTGTGGAAATAATAATTATTATAGAACTTTTGTGTATGAAAAATCATTATGGAAATAAATAAAACAAGCTATTTGCTTAAATCTTTTCTAAAATTACTTTGTGTGGATGGCAGACCAACTTTAGACAAAAATGGTTGGCCTCATTATAGTCAAGACCATGATAACCTACAAATATAATTGTAGTTCAATCAATCAATACTTTGAAGGTGATTATTATAAATTTTCACCTATTGACAGATCAAACTCTTATTGCCCAAGGAGATATGCTTCAATCCCAGACATGGTATATAAAGAAGGTTGAATTTATCCAGAAGGAAGTTCTACAACTCATGCTTCAAAAGGAGGTTATCTCATGATAGCCAAAACTACAAAAAAGGTCATCTTATCAAACAGTGGCCAGACTCACAATCCTTGCATAAGCACACTTTTAATCTAAAGCACCAAGTTCAACCAGTCAATAGTCTCTGAATGGATATAAATGTACCCACTTGGTCAACGTTTAAAATGTCAAGAATTGATATTATTACACCTATACTTCTTGAATATTTTGCAAGTAACCTAGGTCAATCAAATAAAAAATTCCTAAATCATCGCGGCTCTGACAGAGTCTATATTCACTGTGAGGTTTAGAAGTTATAAAAGTTGAAGTCTATCCAAAAAATATAATACCTATATTGGATTTTCAATGTCATTATGGTACAAAAATCAATGAGAGTAGGAGAAAATATGTCACTTCCATAATCTAAACTAAACTTGTTTTGAGAAAAGTGACCCACTCTTGTAGATGAACAATCTAGTCATCTTAGCAATCAAATTTCTTATCATAAACTTTAATGATGCCTTATTTGGTTACCATCCAATAAAAAAACATAGTATCTATTATAAGAAAATTGCATTTATTATTGGCTATATATTATATTATTTCAATGCCCTTATAAAAAGCAATAATTTGGCTCAATTCATCGTAAATCTCTAGAAAAGTTTCATTACACTGAGAAAATATAATACGTGCTTAAACACACACTTAAGTGCAACTTTGGAGAAGTTAATAAAATTTTATGGGATTCTCTCATTAATGAAAGCATAAAGATGAATCTTAAAAAAATGAAAACAATCTTGGAGATGCCACCCAATATAATAGCATAGAGGGAGCATTGTGAGCTTCAGTCTCTTCATCTAAAAATATGTAGACAAGTGCTCACTAAATTTAAAATATTTGAAATTTACAAGCCCTTTTAATGACTTAACAAATGTAAGTAAGAGTTGAACAAATTGATAGGTAGTAAACCTCACAAGTTTCAATACCCCTTACCAATAGCCTTCTTCAGACTAAGATCCTCAAAGACATAATGAGAGGCATAGAAGGTATCATGAAATAATATTGCGGAGATAATCAGTAACATTTCCTTAACAATCTCATAACACAAGACAATGGAGGCTATAGAAGGTTGATACTATTTAGCAACCAAATAATAATGACATAATTAGATGCTTATCCATTAGAAAATTTGACAATATCATTGTGAGCTAGAACAGGTGCATCAATATGATATAATCCAAACCATTGAAATTGATAAAGGTACCAATGGGGGCAGAAAATTTTCACATCATTAAACTGAGCTGAGGAGGCCATGATATTGTGAAAAAAAATAAATGAAAAAGGAGAAAAGAGTAGAAAGGACTTTAAGTCCTTGAGAAAAGGGTTGAAGGAAGAAATCAACATGGTGTTCTATAGGCTAAGGGTGCTGAAGGTCACAACAGGTCATGCGGCCTAGCATGCCTGTAGGAATCGCTAGTGTAGCAACAAGCATGTGGGAACACTTGTGTAGCAGGGCTATGAATGTATTTGGAAATGTTATGTGATCAATTGTGGTGAGTGAGCAAGATACTAAGTGCATCAGAGTAGACATGAAGAAGAAGGAGAGAAACAAGTTAAACAGGGGCAGCTACACATGCGTAGGTTGGGGGAATAAATCATGGTGTGTATTATTGATTTCAAAGAAGACCTATAAATTGGTTATAATGGAATAAAATGAGAAAAAAATTAACAGAGAAAAATACCCACAACTATAAGAATATAATTCCAATATAATCTCCTTCCAAAATTGTGAGACCTACCTAATAAATCAATGCTAATAAAGATGCTGGCAGAACTAAAACTTTACAATCATCAGTTAATCTACAGGTAACTCATCGGTTCATTTACAAGAATAACATTGTATTTTAATAAATATGCTTCAAAGTGATTTAGAAAGTGAATACTGAGAACCGCATTTAATTAATCGGCAAAAAAAATATCCACATCAAAACAGCTTCTTCTTTGCCCGGTGATGTAGTGCATCAGTTCGTAAATCTTCCCACTCCCCAAGGAAATTTCAACTCCATCAGGTAAAGAATGTTATATGGTAATTTTCTTCCCTCCCGACTTAACTATCCAATAAGAATGATCAAACAAGCAAAGCTCGTGCAGGCCAAACCCAAAACCATCCATTAATTACAAAACCCAGAACTACTAAATAATCATCGAGTAAATTATAAATTTCAAAGTAATATTTGGTTTTCTTAGGAAAATTGATATAAACGACACATCTGAACAGCTACGAAACTCAATGTGCATTAGTTCAAGCAATTAAAACTTACATTTCCCCGAAGGGTAACAGCAATTCCGACCGTGGCCCCTTCCCTAAGTTTGAAGCTGGCGATCGATTTCTTCGCCCTCGTTTTCACCGGCCTCTGTCCCGTTATCAATGAAAGATCCTTTATTGTAGCCTCCAAACCTTTTGAGTTCTGTTCGGCGTCTCCGATTCCACAATTCACTGTTATCTTCTCTATCCTAGGCACCTAGTTCCGATCGACATGAATAAATAAAAAAAAAAAATCTCATAGAACGCAATACGAAAGATGCATTCGGAGAAAACAAAAGTTCAATGCGCACCTCGTGGATGTTCTTGTAACCGAACTCCTCTTTAAGAATTGGAACTACCTTATCAAAGAAAATCGATTTGAGGCGGTTCACCTTGTCGGAATCCGACTTGTCTACAAGAACGATACCAGAAGAAGATGTTTCCAGCATAGTAGTGGGTGTGAGGGCTGTGTATATGGCAGCCCTACTTGTCGACAGCGGACACTTTGGCTTCGGACGATTAAAGGAGAACTGAGATGGAATGTAGGTAGGTAAATGGGAGAAGAAAGAAGAAGACGAAGAAGTGATCGAGAAGGTCGCAATCGAGCCCACGGTGGCCATGGAGGTCGTCTCTGGCTGCTCTGCCTGACTGAGGAGAACGAGAGAGTGGCTGGGACTGTCCGGGTTGGAGCTGTTATCATCGGGGATTCTTTTTTATTTCTTTTTGAATTTATTAAATTTTGTAAATTCGATTCCATCAAAATTTCATGTGATTAAATAAAGGAAACTATTTAATTCTGAAAATTTGCAAGAAATTTTTTTGACAATTTTAATTGAATTTAGTTTAAAAAATAAATTTTTATATTAGTTAAAATGTAGCAATTAATTCAAAATAATCATACAACTGTCAAAATTGAAAAAAATATATGTAAATTTTCATGTTCCCTTGCAGAGTATGCTTGTCTTGGTAGAAATACAACCTGGCTTACCTGTTTAAACTATATTATTTAAGTTGACAATTCATTAGAGAGCATATAATGTCTTAACTTTTGGACTGCAAAAATTAAGGCTAGACAATACACTTAAGTAATATAGCGCATTCTCCTTGTCTGTCTCGTTAGTTTGAGCTCGTAAGACGCCAATGGATTCAACTAGTGCAGCAATGTAAAATATTAACGATCGGCTTGGGATCGGAGCTGCTAATACTAAAGGTGTCATTAGATATCGTTTAATGCTTTCAAAAGCTTGTCGACATTTGTCATCCTAATGGAACTTAGCGTTCTTTTTGGTTAAAATAAAAAGTGGGTGGCATCTACCTGCCATATTGAAATAAAACGTCTTAGATATGTCAATTTGCACTGAAAGAATTGAAGTTGAATTAAATTTTTGAAAGGTGACATTTCTAGTATCTCTTTTATTTTCTCTGGAATTATTTCAATCTCACGATGTAGTGCTACGAACCCTAAGAATTTTCCTGAGGTAACTCCAAAAGCACATTTCAAAGCATTCATTTTTTAGGTCGTACAAATGTAATCGTTTGAAAATAATTCTCAAATCATATAGTTGGTCTTCTCTTTCTTTGCTCTTCACCACTAAGTCATCAACGTATCATTCTACTTGTTTTTTGTATTAATTCATCAATAATCATCGTCATCGCTTGTTGATAGGTAGCACTAGCATTCTTCAAGCCAATTGTCATAACCTTGTGACAGTATACTCTGATTGCTTTTTTAATTTTTTATGTTTCTCATCTTCGGGAACCATCTTAATTTGATTGTACCCAAGGATTAGTCCATGAAAGAAAATATAGTGTGTGAAGAGGCAATATCAAGCATCAACTATGGTATAAGTAAAGAAAATTCATTCTTAAGATTTGATCCACCTCAGCTATTATCATAATAATATAACTTCTGATATGACTCAAAAAAACTTGATATGCTCCCTAGCAAATTGATTAAATTCTTAAAATCAGATTTTCCTATACAGTGAGGTTTCTCACGCAAGTATACATATAGTTTTAGTAATATAAGGCTCTAAAGAGTCCGGGATGTCAAACCCACAGGAAACAATGGGAAGCCAAGGTAGGAAAATGTTCTAGTCTACTAAATTTGTTCTTAGTTTGGAATTTCAAAATACAAGAGTTTTGCTAACAAACCTACTACATTTATCTAAAGTTACACCTACAAGATTTCTAATTATATGATGTGAAGTGGTTTTAATAAGTGCTAAGGATACTTTCCTTGTGGTAATAATAGTATAATGTGAAAGTGGAAGAAAGGTGAAATAAAGTAAAGTTTGTGACAAATAGAAGCATAAATCCTCTCTACCCTCTTCCGAGCGTATAAAGAGGTTTGGTTCAAATTGATGTGGATTCTAGAATTTCACGCCAAAAATCCCCAATTTGTACCCCATTAAGTTTTATCTTCCTAATATTTGCATCTGTATAGAGTCTACTTAGATTCATACTCTATAGTTAAATGTGATTTTACTAATCATTTATGTCGTAGCTCTTCTGAGTCCTTATGGGTTAATAATATATTTTAATAGATAAATTGGTCATATTAAAAAGTAAATTAAGTGCAAAAGGAAAATCATCACAAATTGGAATATAAACTATTTGAGCATTCAATTCAACATTCTTACACATCTACCACATCACCACAAAAAAAGCAAGTAAATCTACTCAGAAAGCATGGATACAACAACACCAGAATGCATTGAAACCAAGAGGTTCAACATACAAATGTGTTTTAGAAAATCATAACTTCAAATAAAAAATATACTTATCTCTCTCCCTCAATTTGCCTTGATGATGCTCCACCCAAGCCCTTTCTATTCTCCTGCAACTCCTTACACAACAACACTCACAAATTAACCCCCCCCACACACACACCTCAACTAGCTTGGAACAAGCTTAGAAAACTATAGACATAGGAAGAAAAATCCCTCCAAAATTGTCTCACACGCACCTTTAACTCCTACCCCCCTCTAAAGTTCTCTTTCTTCTCCTCTTAATTTCCTTCTAAAATTCTCTAAAAACCACCTTGAAACTGCTGTTGAACTGCTCTGAACTATCTTGAAACTGTTTGAAATTCAATACTGGTGCCTAGGCATCACTCTATTTTGGTGTCATCGCCTTGGCATTCAGGATTGGGGCTATGACGCCCAGTGGTTGGTACCTAAGTGCCAACCTCTTGAATTGCATTTTCCTGAACTGGCGCCTAGGTGCCACACTGATTTGACGCCATGGACTTGACCTTTAGGACTGATGCCATGGTACCCAGTGTTTGGCGCCCTGGCTCCAAGTTCTTAGGTTCCAGGCTTGCCTAGCGCCTAGGCGCCCAGTACTTGGCGTCATGGCCCCAACCTTTATGAACTATTTTTTCTTCAAATCTTCTCCTTTTCTCTTTGTATTTCTTCCACTTTGTTCCACTCCTAATATCTATTATTCCTGCAAGAAAAATATACAACTACCTTTTCTTAAAGTGCAATTTCATTTAAAAAATTGCGCAAAATATAAAAAAATTCATATAATCTTTTCACAAATCAAAGTCTCTAAACTTAAACATTACTTATCCTCAAGTAACACTATAATTTTAAAAACTAGAATTGTTAATTTGAAGTAATGGGTTTCATTAAAATTTACTATGATTTTTCTTAAAAAATGTTATAGTACAACTTGGGAGAAATTCTAGTGAATTTGTCTAGCACTAGGGTATAAGAACTTTTTGTATTCAACTTAGAAATCTTGATTTCTATTTACTTCAAAAATTATTGAAATTTTTCAAACTTTGGATCCTTAGAAAGTATAAAAACAAAATTTAAGCACACTTTTGATAAAAGTTTAACTAATACTATTTTGAAATAAAAACCAGTTTAAGATTGTATCTAAATCTTTTTCCTTTAAGGAGATTCAAATGAACCCAATATTTAGTAGGATTTTCCTCAAGCTTCTTCTCACTTTTCATATCTTTTTATTTTCTTTTACTTTTCTTTCTTTTCTCTTTTTCTTAGGATTATTTTCAATCTTTATGACTTTTATGTGAGGATTACTATATCTGGATAGACCTTTAATAGTTTTAAATTTCACTATCGCCCCCCTAAGGTTAAAAACTCATCACATTCCTTCAGTTTTACAAGTATAAGTATATGTTAAAAATAAGTTTCACTAGAGGCTCAATTCTTATAAAGTTTAAATTTAAGAACCATGGTTTTTTTTTCAAATATTCAACTCATTTCTACAATAAATAGTAAAATCATCTTCCTACATGTCTCCTACAAAATACCTTAACTCTAAATCATTCCTATTTACTTAGAATCTCAACTAAACCTTATATATCATTTCTAAAATCAAAATTGTAGTGATCTAAAAATAACACCACACACCATAAGTCATTTTAAAGTGATATTAAACTTTAATCTAAGCTATTGAGGATAAATAAAGTTAAGTTTTTAAAAGTTCCCCATCCCTCCCCCCTCCCACATACAACAAGTCATTTTAAAGTGATATTAACTTTAATGTAAGCTATTGAGGACAAAATATGTTAAGTTTTAAAAAGTCCCCCCCCCCCCTCCACGCAAACTTAACTTTTTAACATGTATAGCATTCATTTCAGAAATATAAGCGAGAAAGAATTCACAATCATACTACTTATAGCATGTGTATACATAAAAGTTAAAATTAAAGTAAAATATACTGGTAAGCAGTAACAAGTATGAATAAACAACAGTGGTGAATAAAAAATTCAGAAAAGAAAATTCAAATATCTAATAAGGTAAACAAAAATTAAGCTCACAATAACAAAATATCAACTAAAATAAAGAGTTTCATAGAAGAATAGCTAATATACACAAATATCCAAAACAACATAAATTAATAAGTCTAGTACAACTAAAATACAAAAAAAAAAAGGCATTCCTCCTCCTCCTCATCATCTTCTTCTTCCTCTAATTCCTCTTCTTCAGCATCCTCCTCCATCGGTTGATGCTACTCGTATATTTGGTAGGAAGGATAGATTGGAAATTTCTCTAATCCACTGATTCTTCTGGCACATCTTTAAAAGAGCAACAAATAAACTGGCTTGGAAGTCAAAGAGAAACAAATATATATTGCAAATCTAATAAATTAATATAAAAAAACAATAAATATAAATTAATAATTTATATTGCAAATCTAGATGTGAGCAATGTTCTGTAAGTCTATACACTTCACCATCCAAAATAGAAGCACTGTCCTCTACTCTTTGTATTTGTTTTCCAAACTTTCCTCTTAGAGCAGTAGTAGGGGACGTGTCAGAAGAGAAACCATGAGGCTGCTTATGCTATATGCCTCTCTCTGAAATTATATTTCTTTTGTAAAATACAATTTTTCTGCTATAGATCGGCTTTACAGAATGAAGTATCTCTTCCTTACTATTATTAGGCACTCTAGTATCTCAACATAAAGAAAATATTGTAGAAAGATGCCCTAAACCAATAGTAGTCCCCTCATGTGTGGTATTAATGATGGAATAGTAAATTATAGACCCAACATTAAGGGGTTTAAACCTTTATTTACAATAGTTTAGTAGAGCAAGATCTCTAGTTACTCTACTCACATTTGTTGAAGGAAGCATTCTAGAAGAAATAAATAATGCCAGTCACGACATAACACACTCATTTGTTTAGCAGGGAAGTTAAGTTTTAAACCCAT